ATTACTTAATTATAGAAAAAAAAAAAAGAAAACAACAACAACAACAACAACAAACAAACTGAAAAAAAGACCTCGCAACAAATTACTAAGGGAAACGCCTTCAATGGTGAGAAGGAATTTCCACTTCTGTTACGTTGAAATTCCCTTTCACCATTCAACGTGGCAGCAATGGCGGGGATTATGAGGCGACATGCTTCAGCCAAAAGGGCAACGGGTCGGCGAGCCATACCACCCTTTTGCGTTCGCTAACCACACGTCTAAGTGACCTTAAGAGAAAAACCCGGTTGTCAGCAGTCTAAAATATAATTAATAGGGTCACTTTCCATTTTCGATGAAAAATCCCGGTTGATTTTGTTTTGAGAATTTTCAGTGGCGCATGATGTGAGCATTTTCCGGAATTTTTGAAAAAGGGACATCTTAGCGACGTATACCAAATGTTTTGAAAAGCTCTTACTGGGAATATCTGTTCCATTTGAACTGACTCTCTGCAGTTTCAATAAGTTGTTCGGAGGTTCAACAGATTATTTTCTTTTAAATTCTCAAGAACTTTGTCCAGAAAAATTCAGTCCACTTGCTACCGTTGGAAGATTTGGGATTTTGTATTAAATGGAAAACGCCCCAAGTCTTCATTTGAGTTAATTCGATTTCAAGTTATGAGGGAATGTAAACGTTTACACGGAAATACCATGCGCCTGGTGCAAATCGTCAAGTAACGTTTGTGGTCACATCAAGGCCACTATTTAACAATTAGATTATGAGCTCGAGATTTCTATGAGGATATAGCTGATTCGGCCTGCAGCCTCATCAACTATAGCTATCACCTCATACAAATCGAGAGCAAATAATCTAATTGGTTTAGTATAATTCTTATTAAAGTTTACTTCAAATACCGGTTTCCAATTATTTATCGAGGCATTATTAAACTTTGCGCCTGAAAAAGATCGCTCTTAACTACACTTAGCTTGAATTCATCGAACGTATTACCTAACTGCAAAAACTGAATACTTATGAGTTTGGTGTACACGTCATTCTGAACTGAAGACTAATCCGGGCAAACAATATATAGTTTCATGTAATGGGGTTGATATGACCACAGCCCGATAAATCCCTGACTAGCAGTATGCAGAACACATCGATGCTATGTGCAATTATTGCCCACGTACGAGTTTTGTTTTAAAGAATTTCACCGGAAGGTTACAACGTAAATAAAAAAGGAAAGTAAAAGACAGTAGCCAAGACGTGGAAATGTAAGCAGTGGTTCTCAAGATCTTGTTGTGACAGTACTAGTGTGTATTAGGTAAGGTAGAGTCTGCATACGAGCTAAGTGGCTCATCAGGCCGGAGCATTTCTACTTCCCCCTGGATGGGATACTATCCATCGCAGGGTTAGCCTCATGGTGGCCTCATGGTTAGTACAGGGTTCGAGCCCTGTGTTGTGTTCTTGGGCGGGACACTTTACTCTCATGGTGCCTCTCTCCACTCAGGTGTATAAATGGGTACCGGCGAATTCTTAGTGCGTACTAGACAAAAACTAAATCGGCAGAAAACTCGACATTTGTAATGTAAATTCCAAGAAACAGTAAACAAGCTTTAGTTGCCTGATTTGACAAGAAGCAAAGCATTACATATGTCCAGTTAGGGCCAAATAAAAAAAAAAAAAAAAAAAAAAAAATGAGGTGCCTGAGTGTATTGCCTAGTTGGCTGTCGAAAATATCGATGGCCTTTAAAGGTGCTCAAAAGTAAAGGTACTTAACCTAATATTCTCTTTTTGTTTATTAGCTCCCCGAACCTATACATTGAGAGGAAATAACCGGATATTTAGATCGCCTGGTTTCAATGCAGGGAGCTATCCACCCAATTCAGACATCACGTGGATCATACCTGGGAGGAACGTGAGAGGACTGTTGCTGGAGTTTTTAACAATAGACACTGAAAGGGGGTAAGTTATTGGAGTATTCACGTAGACAGACTAATAATGCTCCTCAGGTACGCAGCTTAGTTGTGAATACGAAAAGATATCTTAACTTTCCTATGCATGCGTCTGGCAGGCGTACAAAACACTCTTATCATTATAATAAGACATATCTAAAACGTTTTGAGTTTAATAGATAGCCCTGGATTTGTTCTACAAGATGACAAATATTCTGATGGTCATGATGTCATCTGACATCTATTGAAGTCAGTCACGGCTCGTCATCTCAGCTGGAGCTGCCATCGTGGATTTCACTTGTTTCTCACAAAATCATAAAATAACGTAAATTTTCACGAAATTAGCCAAATATGATGAAAGAATGGACAAAGGTGCGAATTCGGCAAAGTTCTTTCAATGGGAAAAAACCGGAGGATCTTATCGAAAAGAGTAAATCTAGCTTAACACGATATGCAAATCAAACTGGGGTTGTTGTGGCTATGCTAAATGACGTTGAGAGAGTTGCGTTTCGAGATTCTGGCGAGGGATTAACGACCAGGTACTGTACTGGACGTTTCAGGATCACACAGTAAATCCCTTCAAAATTTTGAAAAAAACCTTCTCGGTGTGGGGAAGCATCCACCCCCCTCCCAACCCCCAAACCCCAACCCCCACCTCTTCAAGGCTTAGGACGAGCAACGCGTACTTGTCAACTCGATAATGCAGACTACATGTACTAAAAGTCACAACAGCGTCAGTTTTAGGTCTGATTACGTGCTGAGCCTTGTGTTCTTTTAACAGAAGAGATATCATCACGATTAGGCGGGGAAACACTGTGGTCGGCACTTTAAGTGGTGTATTCCGATCCAGAGGAAAAAGGTCTCTGTCGTTTCCCTTGTATCGAGAAGATAGTCCTTGTGATGATGATGATGATGATGATGATGAAGTTGCTGACGATGTTGATTACTTTGGCTATGATACTCCTTATGATCGTTTGACAGCCGGATATGACCGTTATCGACGGCAAAGCCGGGGGAGACCACCACGAGCTCCATGTGTTTATGTCCGAGCTCGAGGACAGCAGATATCAATCAACTTTTCATCTGATGGTAACGATACTGGTCAGAGAGGGTTCTCAGCCAGGTTCAAGGTGTTTAGAGGTATTGAATACTTATTCAAGGTTTTCATCTTGTTGAAGTATTCGACAGTGGTCAATGATCAATTCCCTCAATAAGATACGCATGCAGGGAATTAATCATGGTAGTTGTATTCATCAAAACAAATATCCAGTCTAAGATGGTGAATGTAACAACCATGATTCCCTGCAGGCATATCTCATAGAGGCAATTGACCATTCATAAGTTTACTATGACAAAACAAATATACACGTGTCGAGAGAATAAGGCTGAAAATTGTTAATCTGGCCAAGCCACACCGGGGTATTGAATTTAATTGATGCAGGGCCTTGCCTTGCCATTCTTATCACCTTCTTGAAATATTGTTATTATTATTATTATTATTATTATTATTATTTAATCAACTGTTAATAAACACCTCACACTAAGTTTTTCCTCTCATCGAGGTTTCAGCCTCTAAAGTGTAGGTTTTCCTTATGGAATTCGTCTCCAAAGAAGCCCAAAATTCGGCTTCGTTTCCGCCATTTTGAACAGTACTCAGAAGCCAATCCGCGTTTTCGTGACGTCATTCCGACCAAGAGATTTTGTCCGAATGGCTTCCGACAAGCCTTTTAACTGCCTCTCTGGGCTATGGCTGTTCTTGAGCCGTATTATTTCGAGGCAAATTTGCTCCAAACGCCGAAAATGATGGCATTGAAGATATTGAAGTCAATAATCCCTTCGAAAAAATACATTTTGCCGACCTTTTAAAGGAAGCGAAGTTAGTTGCAGGTTTTTGCTCCTTCCCGCCAATTTCGAGTTGGACGGAATGACGTCACATAAACACGACCTGGCTGCCAAGTACCGTTCCAAAGAGGCGGCCTAGGCCTCCGAAGTCGCATCTTTCGAAACGAATTTCTTCGGGATAGCAGACTCTTCAAAGGAAAAACTTGGTTGAGTGGAAAAGCTGAACGTTAACTTGGAATAGAGCTTGATAATTCTAGCAACAGAAGCAACCTTCCGTTAAGATCAAACTATTTGCGAGGTTGGCTGATTCAAATGATTTCTTCAAATCAACCTAAAGCATTTTGTCAAGGCGTGTTTATAGAAAAGTTATGGCAGTTTAAATCCGGAAGGGTTCTTCCAGGGCATGCTGCCAGCTGATTCGAGAGCTGTCAGAACTTGTGATAACTGCTGTGTCCGGTAATTGTACTGTAACAAACTTGTAGCAAATGACTTTTTTTTCCGTCCATAAACTCAGATTGAACTGCCGTAATATGATTATGTTACAAGTGACCGCTTTAGCCAAAGCGTTTCTCTTCAGCTAGGTCACAGTGAGTTCAACCTTCCTGGAAATTAAAATGTTATTTTTTATCCCGCGCCATTTACTAAATAACCGTTCCTTGTTTCTTTCCCTTTCAGGTGGCCGCGATGACAAATGATTCCTCTACCATTTCTAAAGATGTCAAAGAAAAGAAACGTTTTGCGTTTTGATTGAAACAAGTTATCGGCGTTTAAGGGAATGCGCTTCATCTAAATAAAAGTAATGATGCCATAACGTCAATCCATAGTTCTGAAAAACTCCATGTATACACTAATCATCATATCAAAATGTTTTTTTTTTTCTGAAACTCAGGTTGACAAGTATCTTGTCGAATATTTTGAACAAACTTTCTTGCTGTCTCGCACTTCGCGTGGTTGGGGCAAAGTTTGGTAAGATTTCAGGACTAGGGTGGGGCGGTCTTTAGGTTAAATTTCAATGTTGCTTTGATCCAGAAAAGTGATGTTACACGAGCCGAATTTTAACGCCGAATTTCAATATCGATTATTACTCCATGTTACACGAGACAACTTTTGACGCAAGTTTGATGCCCAACGGTCGGCAACTGTCGGCAACGGTATGTTACACGTGACGATTTTAAACGTAACATACAAACTTCGGGCAATAATGTTGCAAGTTTTTGCATCGCTTTCAAAAACGTGCAACATACTGCCGCAACGAAATGTTGCGTCAAGTCGCCCTGTGCGCAACATTGTTGAGTTAAAAGTCGGTTCGTGTAACGTTACCTAAAGGGACAAGTGCGGTGTTGCCCTGACGAGGTGACGAGGAAACGAGTCTAAAAAACAAAAATTTGTGGAGGAAGAGGTGTTGTTGCTCATCGTGGTAGATGCAATAATAAAAGTTTATTATCGTTTATCGTACGATTTAGTCACTTGAGATGTAAAAAATTATCTTGGGGCTTATATAAGCACGTCGCCTACAAAATTAAGACCCTTTTAGAACGTTTAAAACTTCCTAGCTAGAAAATGATAAATGATGAAAGTGATGACAACAAGAACAAAATTATAAAAAAAAGCTACACATCAGATCCAAAAAAATTGAAATGCGTACCTCTAGGTCCCTCGCAGCTTCAAATTAATTTTTCCCTCAAGTATACCCTCCTGGATGAGCCTGCTCTCGATAAAATCTCGCGCGAAGATTGAGCGGTGGAATATACTGATCGTGGCTAACAACAGCCAGGACAAATGCTATCATGCGATAATATTGGATCTGTTCCACTAGGATTAAGAAATTTAGCCAAGGAAAAGGGCGTAAAGTTATGTCCCTTCTTTGCCGCTCTATTGTAGACCAGGCATTTTGAATCATTTTCAGTATCGATTAGACGCATCCATTCTCGTTTCTGTGATCGGTGCCAACTCCAAGCCAAAACCGGCAGATGTCTTAGACTGTTAGTGTTTTCCATCGCTTAAATAGTTGCCTGAAATGTCCAAGGGCTATGGGTTACATCCACCCGGGTATCAAAGTGACTTATTCAGAACCCCTTTAAATATTGAATTTCATGATTTATTTTAATAGCAAGGGTAGGAGACGAGAACTATTTTCATTGAAAGGGAGAATTTGTATGTGGGGATAGTGGAATACGCAACTTTAATTGATCATGCTTTTGAACTGATAATACCCTTAGCTTGAGGAATCACTTAGGTAACATCAATCAAGTCGTTCTAACAGAATTAATTTTGCACTTTTGGCCCACTCATAAATTAAAGGATCGAAAGCAGAGGAGTTGAACAACTGAAACAATATAACATGGACCCACAGTAACATCCAGGCAACAAGCTATCACAAATAAGGAAGTTTGGCCCTAAGTGGAACAATTTACACTCGGTTCAGAGATAGTGAGATGGAGGTGCTTCTCGGGGTTAAGAAGCACTCTTAAATGGCAGACCTTTCTCCGCTAAGGAAAGTTGTTATCATATACCTGGCGAAAAAACAATCTCAGTGATATAATCAATTAACGTGGTATTGTCTAGGTCTGAACAGAATGCAAGGTGCTATGTTCTCGTTTTCGCAGCATTTGGACGAACTCTCTGAAGCGAGTGTCAACAAACCCCTGGTGAGGTGCGAATGCTTTCGGCGCTTTGCGTGGAACAAAACAAGGAAAAAACTGTTTGCAGTCGACTAAGGTTAAAATTATTATTATCTCTTTAATAATGAAATTACCAACTGATTCAAGGAAAATCAGTTTTGGACTTCATTTACATCATCACCAGAAGTTGGGCCATTTGTTCTTTATTAATACTGAAAACTGCTTAGCGGAAAAGTGGGCGTAATGGCGATATCCCCAAAATTAGCACGTTTGACTTTGATTTCTTTCTTGCCTTTGGTTGTACTTCCTAAATATTACAAAATCAATGAACTGTGTCCTGCACATGGAAAACATTGTTCTTGCCATGGAAACAAACTTTTTTTCAGTCGCACGCATTGTTATTAAACTGCGAAAGATCAACTGAAACCGTGCAAAGTGATAACCCAAAACACAAACACTTTCCTTTGCATTGATGTTTGTCTGCTAAATCTTCAGAAACCGATCATTTGCCGTGCAGCTGACCTGGAAAACAAAAGCATGACATAAAAATGATTAGTAGTATATACATATGATTAAATTTATTTAACAGCATCAAATAAAATCTCCACTGTAGTATGAAAATTCAAAGGAATGTCAGTCTTTTTTTTCTCCACTCTCTTATTTTTTTCGTAATTTTTTGTGGGATTGATATTGAGGCCCTTAGAAGTCGTGATATCAAACCGTGTCATTCTTCATTGACACGATTTTCATCAGTAAATCCAGTCACTAGCTATGCATTATTTCAGGTCTGCATAAAGATATCTCTGTTAAGTACCATTCACCATCCATTTTGGAATCAGATTGGTGTATTTTCTTAGCAAAATTAAACGGAATGAGCTGGGTTAAGGTGTCTGGTGACAGATTCCGGTACTCCAGGTCAATACTCCCACACTTAATCAAGTGATGCTAAACTTGTGTCTTGTTAAACCATCTCCATGAAAATGTAAAGAAAACCAAGTTTGCTGGCCTCAAAAAAGGAGACTATGTTTCCACGTTTGTCGTCAATCGGAAAATAAGAAATAAGAATCACAAATCTTCTAGAAAATTTGATAATCATGTTTTTTGGAGATTATGAGGTAACTTTGAGTTTTCCCCTTTTTTCTCTGCTCTTTTTGGTCAATCACTGTTGTTGAAAATTAAAGGGGGACTTTGAACCCTTGGTTCAAATAATTCAAACAAAGCATAATTTTAAATAGAGACTTTCAATGAGGTTGATACGCTAAGAAGGATGTTACCTTGTAAAACGCGGTAAACGGCTTCAAATCCTCTCAACGTAATAATGCTGTCCGATTTAAACATGATCGATATTTCCTCGCCGTTTCCGATGACGTATAGTCGAGGAAGGTATGGAAACCCGTAGAATCGAGACATCCGGTATCCATAACGGAACTTTTTCTTCCATTTATCGTCATCATCATCATCATCATCGTCATCATCATCATCATCTTCGCAGTCGTCATCCCAGTCATTGTCGAGTCTTCCTGTGAACCACGAATATTGACCGTACATGCCACTCAGACTTCGTATCTCGCGAATGCCCCGTATTATTTTGACGTAATCAAAGCTGAAAAAATAAATAGAACTAAGCTTAGGATATTTAGATCACTCCAGAGCTACATGCATCTACAACAAAAACAATGATAAGGAAAACATCAACACATGTACAAGTGCAGTAGCAAAGACAAATTCAACAACTTTGAATATAGTAATAAAAAAAGAAAAAAAGAAGTAAGAGTACACAGCAACAAATGCAGCGGTATAAACTACAGAAACGACAACAGCAACAACAGCAGCAACAACAATAAAAAGTGTATCAGCAAGCACAAGAGGAATAAAAAAGACATGAAGTCCACGACCTCAAAGTTTTCCCGCCGAATGTCTATGGAGCAGCCATGCGATTAAGGTCTTTTCATTTCATTTTTTTTTTCCATTTTATTTATTTATTCCACTCCAAAATTACAAAGATAAATATAAAGTAAACAATTAAGAGGAGAAATGGAAAAGGGCAAAAATATAGCAAGCTAATTAGATGCCCTTGTTTAATCTTTTTCATTTAAAGTGAATGGCAACTGTTTCCAGCGCTTTTGGTTTAAGTATTACATAAAAGTTTTATCAAATGTGATCATCCACTTAAAATCTCAAGGGATGGCTTGACATTTTTGTATTATATTATACTTCCGCTGTTGTGTGATCATGCCAACATCTGACTCAAGTTAGTAATAAATCTAAGTACTTAATATTAAAGCACAAAGCACTACAGGTCACAGTGTCTTATGTTAAAAAATTTGAAGCTCTAGCCAGGCAAAGCAAAATCTTAATAATCTACAGTTACGATTGCAAAACTCGGGACCATTTCATCTTTGGTACGCCACACCTTAAATATTGTGTATTTTAAACCTCGTTTAATTAGCTTGATTCATTGAAACCAATGCATAGAATTAAAATATTGCAAAGGAGCGCAGCGTTAATTGTTATATCGCCCAGGGTTGAAGTAGGTTGTAAACTTACCACCGTTCAGTTTCAAAGGTGCGGAAATTTAGCATCAGAGTGGATCCCATCGGGACAGTAATGGTCCATTTGCACTCAACATTGTTTGGATAATTTGCTGGAAAGCCAGGAGATGTAAAGTTCCCGGATGGAGCGACCAGAGGACCTCCACACAGGGCTAAGGAAAATAGAAGAACACAGAACACTTGAATCAAGTGACAGAATCTGAACAATATAGATCGCGTAGCAGAAATACATGACGTTTCGGCCACCAGGAAGATTTCATTATTTCTAAAGTTAAAACAATCAGTTTAAGGCCAGTCCTTTCCCCCTCCTTAAGGTTTAGAGCCTTAACCTAAGGTTTAGAGGTTAAAGGTAGCTCTGAACCCCATGTGCAGAATTTTTTAGAACTTCGCCATAAGTTGCGTCGAAATTCGATTATAAAAAATGTGCGTCACCGAGGTCGTTTTTGAGTTATTAGCCGTTTAAGCTAAATTTAAGGGTACTTTGAGCAGGTCATACTGTCGCCATGGTGACCTGATGATAACGTGTTCACCAATAATTGAGATTTTCTTTGATGCCAAGATTGTACTATCGGCTGACAAAAAGTGATTATAATAATTCATCAACGTTTCGAGAAGTTCTGGAAACTGTTTTGAGGTAGCCACAATTAGTGGCAGCGCCAAAAATAATAATAGATAATAATAATGAATCAAATGAAATCTTTCTGTACCCAGGATGTCCATTTTACATTACTGTGCTCTTCTGAGGAGCCGAGCAAATTATCAAGAAAATTATGATAAGAAAAAAAGCTTGTATAATATAACTATACCTAAATGAAAATGATACTATACTCTAAGCTAACCATGACTCGTTTTATATAATGAAGTGTTAAAAATGGCGCTTGACACCAGAAATGTGCCTATCAGTTAAATTCATTATTCACCTTGTCCCATGCTGTAATGAGCAAAGAACCCTCTCCGGGTCACCCAGGGATCAGATTTGAAAACGACCCTGACCACTTCCCCTGTTCCATGTATTGACACGATTCTGGGCTCTTTGTGTTTTTCTTTGTACATATGTTCGGCAAAGTACATCCCTTTTGCAAAATCCACATCTTTACGATCATCATCATCGTCATCATCGCACTCATCATCATCGTCGTCGTCGTCGTCATCGTCATCACCATCATCATCTTTAAAATATAAGTTGTCTTTCTCTCCTCCTCCTTTAGTCAAGCGTTATTAAACGTCTGCCCACGAAAACTTTAACCAGGTCATAGCTGGAGAAATAAGAAATGAAAAGGATCTCATTGTCTTTTATTCTAGGTAACACACCTTGCGTAATGGCAGCTTAGATTAATTGGTCGGCGGATTGGTTCATGTTCTGTTCCTCTTTTAATTTTCAGTCATCATGTTTTTATCATGCATACTTTAACACAAAAACATCGCTTACTGGACTTGCAACTCAACCACGACAAAGGTTTTTTTTTTCTCGAAATGAATTTATGTTTGACCATGTTTGCAAGTATGCTATTTTCATTTCAGTGGGACACCAGGCAGGTAACGGCCACTGGGTAAATTAACCCCTGGCCATGTAGCAGGGAAGCTGTAATTATGCAAATATTTCTATTGCCTTCGGTCTTGTCAACCAGAATCGCGCCTGGAGGTGTTGGCAAATATGATCTGACTGCTTGCGGTATTTAATCCACTTAGGGCAGGATGGTTACTTTAATGTTGATTCAGTCATAATTGTCATATTTTGTAAGTTTTAAAGTTCGTTAAATAAATCAAATAAACGAGCTTATCAGTTGAAAAAAGAAAGTACTTAATTGACTATTTTAACTGTGTCCAAGAAGTTTTGACTATACTTCAGAAGTTGGCCATGCAGTAAAAACAAGGCTCTGTATATAATTGTCTGATTTAAAGTCATGTGGTTTATCGTATCTATGCTATCTTAACAACTGGTGAAGTTACACGTATTTCTTATTATTTGATATGAGTTACTTGATAACACCAGAACTCGTAGAGGCTGCACAGCTAAGCCCGCAAGAGGTCATGACTTACCAAGGTTCCGTTTCGAAGAAGAGGAAATCTATCCTGAATTGTAATCCTTGCGGAACAGTGATTGTCCAAATACAGTAGGCGTTGTTAGGATAGTTGCCAGGATAATTAGGAGATGCAAAATTCCCGGATGTACCAACCAACGGACCTCCACATTGCGCTGGTGCTGATAAAACAATGCAATAAAAGACCTGAGTGATATCTTCAACATTGTTCACCTTCTCGAACTGATTTGAACCATTTTTTTTGTGTGAACGTACGTAGGTCAACTTATTTTTGAAACCAAACAAATAAAAGCCAATAAAATGAGTGAAATATAATAGGAATTTGGCAATCAAGCTTAATTCCAATGTTGGTTTAAAATTGTAAACATTTACGAAAGATTGTAGACCCTACATCCTGTTTTGACGTCACAGCCTGCCTGATTAGTCCCAGGTCCTAACCCCCCAAGGTTTCTGCCCCAACCAGAAGATGGCTAAAACACAATAAAACACACACACACACCCAAAAAACAATATCCATTGTATTTTTCGATCTCAGTATCACGATCCCGTGTCGATTCCAAATCAAGCAAAATAATATCCGCCATTTGCACTTTAAGTTAAGTGTAGTCCCAGTGTATGCAAGGAGAGTACGGCACACAAAGATTGTAAGCGTAGAAAAACAAATGACGAAGAGAATATTCATTCTCCATCGTCCTAAAAGTTTAGGATTTCGCCGTAAAATTTCGTCTTTCGGGTTTCCATAAATTTCTTTCAGGTATCAATAAAGAACTTCACTGTATTGAAACATCGCCAAATGCCATTATTTGTATTGTATTCTGGATCAAATGTGCCTATTACATTGTGCACTTAGCTAGATTTGAAAGTTGTAAATACCCTTACCTACTTGTTCGGGTTGCACCATGTTTGAAACACGAAAACGCGCTGAATGAATGGTCCATAAGTTTGTCAGCAGCACCTATCAAGAACATTAATTTTTGAAACGTCTTTACCAGAAACGAAACGGATGAGTATTGTCAATATGGAATATTTATAACTACATGCATTTATATTTATTTGAACAGAAGAAAGGCCCGCAGTTGGACAAAGCCATACTTAACTCTACCGATACTGAATACCTCCTTTATTGGCTGCACGATAAACGCACTTTGTGTAACATTTGGTTATTTCTCCACGAACTAACAGAATATGCGTGCAAAGTGACAGACAAGTAATTTGGATCACAAATTACTGAAATAAGAGCAGCCTTTTATATAGGGTAGATATTAAATTTATTTCTGATTTTTCTCAGTATATAGTTTTGTTCTGACTTCGACAAGAATCTCAGTTTTCAAGCCACTTTACTTTCTTAAGAAGGTTAGTCATGAACAACATCAATTATTGTTTTTTTTTTCTGATTATCACGTTATCATCTAATCAGGTATTAGGTTTTCGACGCTAAGTGCTAGTATAGCTATACAGTCGGGCCTATGTTCATTTGTTGAGCCTACTGTTGACGCACTGTTTAGAAAACAGGGATAAACTTGGGCCCATCATACGAATGAAAGAAAACTTTTGTCCATCTTTTTTGGTGATTAGACGCTTGAGAAATGATCCGTTTGATTCAATCACGCAGTTTGCGTGACGATGTACTGAAAATTACCTCAGCAGCGCTGCCATGTTTACTACCAGAACGCTTGTTACAGTTTTGACAATTACGTAGAAGGGATTCAACACTGATCCAGAGTCAGCCATTGGAACTTGACCGAGGTAATCAGTTTCTTCATTAGAATTCGATCATTCAGTGAGAGGTCAGATCTCTCTTTATAAATGAGAGTCCTTTTTAAAAATACTCCTGTCTTGATTCAACAAAAATATGTAGCTTGAATATTTCTTCATAAACTGCGTTAAGGGTCGCAAATTCTTGGAAGTTATCCGCAAAATACACAACTTGAAAGTTTNACAAAGATGTCGATCGTTTTCAGAAAGGGTCGGTCCACGAATTATATTGCTTGAAAGCCAGCCAGGTAAGCAAAGTTTACGCTCGAAATGTTCTCGTGAGATAACAACGGAGCCGATTGCGGTATGAGTTCAATCTACGAAAACAGTGCCAAAAAATAGGCAGTCAATTACGGTATGTGGCTACTGCTGTTATTATTTAGAACACTGCAGTAAAATAAATCATATTGAAATAAAACCAGCTAAATACGAAAACGTTTTTGGACTCGTAGCTCATTAAAAACACGCGACTTGTTTCTTGCACCGCGCAAAATACGTTGTAAATAAATAAGATAAGACTTTTGGTAACTTGAATTAAATATCTTACCTCCAAGTTAGTTGGCTTTCTAGTAAGGTGCAGGAAAAAAAACAAAAAACATAACGTGTGATTTGGAGGCACATTGTGCGGGAGAATTAAACCTTCGATTGTGCGGGGAATTGTACGGGATTATTGACGAACCAATGTTCTTGCCAAGTCCAAAGGAAAATCTGCATTGACGATAGTTAAGCCAGTTATTTGACTAGTAGTTCAAATATATTTAGCAGTCTTAGCAATCGCCAATTCTTTTAGAAAACTATGTCTGACTACAAAAGAAAATCATGTTGCGTGACATGGACTAGACGAGCATGAAACCAAAATAAATAGCAAAACCGAATGCCGCATCTTTCCTTATAAATGAGAGTCCTTTTTAAAAATACTCCTGCCTTGATTCAATAAAAATATGTAGCTTGAATATTTCTTCATAAACTGCGTTAAGGGTCGCAAATTCTTGGAAGTTATCCGCAAAATACACAACTTGAAAGTTTATGCAAATTATGCGCAATGCAATTTGAGCCTAGTCACAGGACTGTTGTTTTCGCGAAGGAGTTTATCATGATTCGTTTTGACTCTCTCGAAAGGGATTATTCGTTCTCCAAAGAAGATATGACTCTTGAAAAGGGTTTAAGATCGCAGCATGGCAAAGATGTTCAGCTACACAATTTGCTCGGATCGCCACGACCAGTAAACAAACTTCGTACAATTTCTGCTAGCATGTACAAAGTAATCGCCATAAGTTGTAAAAAAA